AAATAAATAAATAAATGATCAAATCAATATTCACAGCCGCACATAGACTCGATGATTGTTATCAATAACCATAGTATTTACTGTAGTCATCACAGGTATGGTATTGTACCTGCAGAATTCACATGGGAAAAACACCTTATTATAGAAATACACCCCCATTTCAGTATCTTCGTTCACTTTGAGAAAACGAGAAACCATTGACTCATGAGTATCCCGACAGTAAGTCTTCAAGAAGATGTCTAAAAAACGACCGAGTAATATTACTACAACATTTTGATTATGCTTATAATGCTGCAGTATTGCTGTCGACTGGCTTATCAGGCGGAAAAGCCTTTCCATTGACATGAGTTCCTGCCTCGTCTTTCTGGTAGCATAATCATGTGAGGCCTTACAATACAACTAATTTCTTGCTTCTTTTTGCGTAGCAAAAACATCCCTTCTAGAATCGTAAATCTTCGATTTCTTCACCTGAATCGTGCTTACTTCGAGTGGGCAGGAGTTGTCGCAAGAGTTCCTAGGTGTTAGAATAACAGCGAATGTTTTCAAAGGCATCCGAAGAAGTGCTATTAGTGGAGAATGCAGTTCCTTCCTCGAACTGCATCAGCTAGGTTTAGGAAAAGGAAACGCAAAACTGATGGTTTTGAAAGTCATAGTCAAGTACAAAATGAAGCATTTGAATGTTCCAGTACGTTCTGTGTGGTGGCGCAGATTATTCCGTCTTCCTCTGTGTGATTTACGATATTTCCGATGGCACCACGGCTGCTGCTCTGAGAGTTCTCTCCATCTCGTCATGAGGGTGATGATATCATATATCATTGGATTCGTTATCATCAGCACTCAGATAATAACAGTGAGTGAACCTGGACTTGTTTAATAACATATTTTTGAAAACACGATCGTGGACTCCGAAAAGCAGTTCTTCGTTCATCTTCTGGAAACTAGCTGGGCTACATCTGGGAGATCTCCGCAGAGCTACTCTAGTGCTGAATGAGCCATAACCCAAGCACCTGTTTATCTGACTTTACCTTTTTTACTACATTTTGCATCCACACGACTAATCGTTACTTTCGAATTGGCAGGGAGGTAGATGTTTTTTCGATCTTTTACTCATCAGTCCGAAGTAACGAAATGCTAGCGCAAAACTTAGAATTTCTGTGTTACTACTCCTGTCAGGGAAGCGCTGCCCATTAGTTTTCTTATTTCAGTAATTTTTCCCACTGGGCAGTGAGCTGCCATACACTCATGCGAATTCAACGGACATGCAGTTACGAGATGCACGAAGTCGACTGGCGTGGACGCTTGTCTACTTAATTCTACCATATATTGCATTCATTCCATTTCTCGGTGATTTCATTGCTGAACGAAAGTCATCGTGATAAAACGGCAAATATCGTCACTATGCACAAATGGGGTCGTGGATTTGAGCGTAATCCACTTTACTAGAGGCTCTTTGGTGAATATGCACATATTTGTAGGAAGTTTAGGTAAGAAGTTATTATCGTCGCCGTTGCCACATTTACGTGCATGGACCAACCCTGAAACCATTGAAACCCAACCGGGCTAAGGTTTTTCAGCCGCCCAAGATCACCGATTTAGTACCAGACTCGTCTGAGAGGATGAAAGCATTGAATGACAACTCAGTTATGTAGCCAACTCACGGTCGAGGTCCAATAAAGAAAAGACATACAGCGTTGATCATCCCGGTTTTGAGATGCATCACGCAACGACTCCACTAAAAATGAAGGCTTTGCTATATGGTGCATACAATACGGCCCATGTACAGTAGTTTACCTCCCCTTACGGGTGTGGTACTGAACATCACAATCACGAAGAATCGAAGGTTTGTTGCTTGAGTGAGAACTGGACCGGAAGTTAATTTCGGACAAAACTGCTTGGGTGCAGCATTTCCCTCCATACCACCTCCACGAACACCCTGCGGAGGATAGGCCAAGAAAAGACGCTAACACTGCAGTACTAAAAGCGTGATCCGATATAGGCCTTAATGATGTAAAAAATCACATCCCCGCTCTTCATATCCGAAAGATCTTAGTTGTAATCTTGAGACAAATTCTTATACGGTGTTGCAACTGTACATATTATTTCTATGAATTCACTGAATGGAAGAGCAATAAAAAGAGCACATATATGTGAGCGTTCAAGTAGCTTATGTATACAAATTTCTAACCATTTTTAGTGAACGACTTTGCCACGTTAATTGCGTTCAATGGGAATGCCGATCCAACAGTGAAGGTAGTGATGTCTATTTGCGAAATGATCCAGCCCATTGTCCAATTTCATCGGCCTTTATTCAAGCATAATCACTGTCGCCTTCCTACCTTCCTACAGGTGGATCGAACATTTTTGTTAATTCAGGTACGCATACGAACGTATTTTGCTACATTACCGATACAATTACACTACATTTCTACATTCACTGCAACCATTCCTGAGCACTATCCTTCCAGACGTGCAATGCTACTGATAGTACTATGCTGTGGTTGCTGCCCGAAACTGCGAATCGATCCTTTGCCAAGAAAAGCGAATGATATGAGTCTTATGTATCGATATGCTGATCTTTGAACCGTTGAAAAAAATTATTAGCATCACGCTAATTTCCATGTTGGAAGCGAACCTTTTGTTGCTGTCAGTGTTCACAGAAAGCATACTACCAGCTCCTCTTGCGAAGAAGAAGAAATAAAAGAGTGCTTCAATAGTTCAACGCCACGGTTGGCAACGCAGGACATATTGTGTTCAGAGCCGCGTGTGCCGTATATCGGTCCAGTGTTATCAACACGTGGCGAGCAACGCCGTCGGCCAGTCGGCCGGTGAAACAATGGCCGTCGTTGCACTTTGTAAGCAACCATTTAGTACTGAGCATTGCATCAAGGCTATGGCGAAGAAAGCGTGCAATAAGTGGGAAAAGCCAGAAAGCCGTTGTTTTGGTTACGTTGTTTTCCGAAAAAATAAAACCTATCACACTCGAAGGAAATGTTCACAGTAGAGTATCTATGCGTAGTGTATACGACTCAAAAACATGAACGCAGTTACTAGTTCCTCATGGGAGACGTGTAGTTGGATCGGTCCAGGTCGGTCACCTCATCGCACTTCAGCCTCTCTCTTTGGCTCACCACAGCTACTTTTTGAGGATTATGAAAAGTGCAGCTCTTTAGCTGCCGGTCAACATGTGATCCTCTGTGCTATTACCGGTCGGAGGTGAAAGAAAAAAATCAGTTTGAAATCAGGGAATGGGAGCAGTTTCGAGTGAAACCTGTAAGATAAATTTCATGAAAACTAACTTGTCTCTCAGATAAAGGCCTCAAACCAACTATTGAGTTGATGCATAATTATTGCGGATTTTTTCAGCAATTTTTAGTTTAAGAAACGATAGAAATATCTAGCAAAGACATGTTCAAATAATTGCCCTGGAACATATCCACCATCTACGCCAAGCACTGCTTTCCATTTGCTCGGCAATTGAATTCCACAGGCGAAGAAGTTCCGATTTTTGACATTACGCCTTGACACTGGCTATCAAGCCATCCACCTGGTCGAAAGTAGTGTTCGTTAACGAATTTTTCAAAGGGCGATTAACGTGATGATCCATAGAAGTATCTGTTGATGAATAGGGCGATCGCAGAAGTAGATTCTATTCCTTGTTCGGCTTTGGCTGAGATCACGTTATGAGTATGCCGCCTTCCATCATTTCTCGAAGTAATAGAGCATAATGTGGCGTATATGAAGATGACTTTCTAGACATAATTCTGTTGAGGAAAGCGAGAAGATTATTTCTACGAAAATCCCAAATCCAAAAGTTTAATTTTATCGAGAGAAAAGAAGTCGCGAAAAATCCGCAATAATTATGCATCAACCTGATATATACATGTTTAATTTAAGCGCCCGCCGCCAGAACTCCACACCTTTATCCGTGAGCAAATACAGGACCATAGTCAAGAAAACGCTCTCGCGCGCAGCGTGGCTAATTGAGCACTGTAATCAAGATGCTAGTCATGTAGATTGTCACGAACAGACAACCGAGAGCGAGTCGCATGGTATGGCTGTAGTTTGGGAAATCAGAACATGTATTGTAGTTATTACCAGTTGAGCCGCCTGTCTGATATCCGGGCTTCTTTCACACCTATGACAAATTAAGAAAGCTCTTACAAGCCTTCCTTTTTTAAACGAACCAGTTGGGCCGCCCGGTTTACGCCGGGCCCTCATCCCTTACATTTATTAATCCCATTAAGTGAAGAAGTATAGAGGAATGTAGGATAGAGCTGGGTTATCCATATCACTGCCTTCATCGTAATCATAAAGTTTGCGGACGGACATACCGACATACCGACACACCGACATACCGACAAACCGACACACCAAGTTTCTGCTTTATAATAAGAGAGATGATACATTTCTAAACATCGGGCTTTCAAAGGAGATTATCTGACACAGCACGGAAAACGAGAGGAAGTTTGCAATGAACCATTGTGGATCGAAGCATCGAATGATACTTACTAATGTTGCCGAATAATGATAGCCCCAATATCAAAAACCACCATTTATTACCCTTCTTATCCCTACTATTACAAGCTATGGGTGGAAACTCCCAAAGTAATGGTGCTCGGACAAACTGTCTCGTATATTGCCAGCCGCCGGTGTGATGGTTCTTCACGAAAACTCTGAAGCAGATAAATATAATGCCTCGGGTTTCTCGAACTAGGGTGATCCTTGTGACTACATACACATGACTAGCGACAGGGGCAAATGGAGGTCGTCGCCCGCTCGAGTATAACGCTGATCCACGGGATGGCAGCTATGACCGACTGATACTCGAGCAACAGAGAGCTTTGCTATTGTTTATGTGGGCATGTATCAATTAAGGGGAACATTCACGAATCAGTTCTTTTGGTCTGATTTTCAACAACAAGGCTCATCAACGCTTTATGGATCGAGAATTCTGAAATGAGGGTACGTTGATTGGACTTTTCTTATAAATTTCTACATATTTACTTGTCCTGTCCCCTCTTTTCTCTTAGAGATTCACGGTCGGACGCCGAAGCCCTCTTTGAAGTGTCAGCCTCTTTGGATTTCTTTTCGAACAACTTGGAAAGTGTAGGTTGCACTGGTGTTAACTGGTTGAACATCTGTCCTTCCTCGGAAAGGAGCCTTGTTGCATCCGACAGCTCTTTACTTTCTTCCGCAGGAACGTCCCTAATGCTTTCTTCTCTGCTTTCTGAAGGACCCTCCTTACTGACTGCACTCGCTTTGCTGGTGTCTTCAGAAGGACGTTTGGATTTATCTTTCGAGACTTTCTCATCACTGAAATGCGGAATTTCTTTTTGAAGTGACTCCAAATTTGGACATCGACTATAAATGCAAAAAGTACCCTTTCTGGCCTATACTCTCCAGCTGGATGTTCTTGGTTTCCTGAAATGGTACGCTTTCAGTAGTCCAGATTTATCTCGTAACGCAGTTCCTGCTTCTGTGGTCAAAGGAGCTACTGTATATAAATTTTTTTTCTTTATATCACTAACTACATATCACAATTTTTTTTCACTCACTCATCATCACTCAACTAGTACATATTCCTTGCTTCAGGTCGGAATGTAAACCTACTTCCATTGAAATATTTTCACATCTGCTTTGATTTTAGGAGTAAAGTAAAGGCAGGCTCAACAATTCATGCCACGAACCCTAACGTAATATGCTTTTCAGAGGAAGACAAACATATGTTTCTACACAAACGTATGTTTGAAACATACTTTAAGTAAAGTGACCGTGACGACAAAACTGAACAAGTTCGACGCGAGGACTGCTATGAGTATTGCCTCATCCCAGACGCCTTTGAATGAGCCCACCTGAAGCATTCCAAACAATGTGTCGTATATGGTCAACTTTTTTCACAGCTACATACCACTCGTGCAGCTATGACGTTGGAGACTCGAGAGATTATATTCAACAGAGCCGTAGTTTTCGCTCGAACTTCCGTGGGCATGAGCTCGGCCGCCCCCAGATAGTTAGGCTCCCAAGAAACCGAAATTGAATTGTATGCTACGAGATACGTAACGAAATATAAGGTTGAGCCCTAAAAGTTTTTTTTAAGATGTCAAGTAAACAATTCGATGTCTTACTATTGCTTTGACGTTGTTGAACTGCTATTGTACAGAAACTAATTGCGTTAACCATTGATAGTTGCATTTATACGTGACGAGGCACGGCTTCGAGGGACGTTAGCATCCACTCGCTATGGTAATACTCTCAGTTCTGCAGAGCCTTTTGAAACATCTCATTCCTTCCCGCTTTCTACTTTTCTGTACTCTCTACTGCATCGAATTACCTTTCTGCTTTCGCCCTCTCTTTCTAGACCTCTTCTGATGTATCGTCATGCCTATGAGGTGTGTTATGCTTCAGCCTTTTCGTGTTTGCAGTAACGAATTTGAGACGTGTAACCATAAAATTACTCCAGTGTATTCTCATCGTGGTTCAGTCACTAAACGTATTCACAGTAGAAGGAGAATAGATCAGGGACGCCCGCTTTCCGTGCCGCTTCTTGTATAACCCTCCCCTCTAGGCGTAGCTTGACACATGCTAGAATTTCCCAGCACTCTCCTTTCTGCTATGCCTGGTGAGCAGATTTCAGATGTTCACGCACTCAGCAAACAATCCTACGTTAACGGTCCCAATTCGAACGGGAGCCTTGAGACGATATTGCTCGCTCATCGAGAGCGCTCCCGTAGTCGTCACGAAGCACTAGCGATGGCTCGCATCCCAGCCTCAGGTGACGTTCTGGTATGAGGTCTGGTTCCAGAGAACTATAAACATCTTTGTAGAGACCGAGGTTCTCCATCAATTTCTTGCTCAATCAGGATATGATGCTGTTATCAATACAGGATCCTGCGAGGCATGATTTCTACCTGGAATGTTGGGCCCCCCATGTGGTTTTACCCTAGATCCCTCTCCAGTATAAGGTCAAAAATACACAAATTCGCCACAGCAATGATCTTGATGAGTACAGGCGTTTCATCCAATCCGATAATTACAAGTGACTGAAGAAAATTACTTCTGACCACTTCCGATTTTTCATTCACATGCATCGAGTAGGTCAATCAGTTTTATCGAGTTCCATAGTCATATACAGAAGGTCCCGAATGTAGCCAAAAATTCATCTAGAGAGGAGAAAAAAAGGAAACCTTCATATTGTTCGCGAGCTCGTAAAGTAAAGCACCAGATGAAATGATACAGATACCCATTGCCAATATGTATACAAGCCTACGGCCGAGCCATGGAAACCAGGCATCAGCAAAGCCGACAATCTGAAATTCANTGACGTCACTCTTCATAATTTGTATGAATTTTTCGCATTTTGTCGCTCAAAGAGTAACGATAACTTTCCACCAAAACTACGAGGTATGAGCATAGATTCGGCCACGAATGAATCGGATCCAAACATGTGCTTCTTCTTTTGGCAACAACTCGTCATCCGTGTGAGACTTCCATATCGTATGTGCCACAGCGGAATAACGGAAGTTATCAAAGAAACTAACTCAAAATAAGGATAGAATTTTCGGCTGTGGTCGGCCGTGAAAGGTGTCATGCGTTCAATAGATTCGTAGTGGCTGTCTAGAGAAGAGTCGTCCACTGTCCCCACCCACTGATTTCAACCAACTCTCGACGTGTTGGCTAGCATTACACATAAAAATACCTGAGTAGCGCTGAAAAGCGGGGTAGCGGTACGTCAGACTTTGCCCCTAACAAGAGAATGACCTCTCAGGTACATTGGGAAAAGATATGTTCGAGGCAAATAGGCATGAAAGGCACTCTTCACTCCTGAACTTAACTGAACGAGCTTCCAAAAAGAATAGGCCTACAAGCGGCACCTGAGCTTTTCCGGGGTATTGAAATTACATTCTCGTGGGTAGCCTGGGTATCGTATCAGGAAAAGTTGCTGAGGAATGCATTCGGGAAAACAACAGTGTGATCATTATGTCCGAATGTATAAACATATTTTTTCATATTATATATGGATCTTTTTCTTCCTAGACATCCGAAAACTACTTACCACACGTATGATTGAAGCCAAAGCCGCAGCACTAAACTGGCCTGACCAGAGGTTTTTCGTCATATCTTCGCCATTCAGGTCAATGGAGTACATGCTTAGACCAGCGCAAAACCACCTTAATTCGAAGCAAAACCAAGCTAGCGAAGTAAACAACAAAACAGATCAAACTGCACTTTGAAATTGGATTTTTGATAAGCCTAAGAGTCTTACAATCTGCAAGCTCCAGCAAAAAAATAATATGAACGTAGGTACAGGATGCGCTTCAAAATTTCTACAGAGCAGGTTGTTTGAAACCTCACGCGAGCCAAGCTACATCCGCCGAATTGAGCACGTGCCGCATTATGGCGAACACTCCGACATTTCACATTTAGCAATTCTAGTGCAAACTTCAACTGCACGACTAATACAAGCTTAAAAAAGTCAGGAAAGTCGACAGGCTGGGTCGAACTGTATAGGCACTTTTAAAGAAGCGATTTTAACTGTATTGTTATCCAGGAGAGAGGTAATTGGAAAGCGTGTTTTGTTCTCCTTTATGAAAATTGTTCTTCCTAATAAAACTCAAGTTCACAATTTTAAGATAATTTGTGAGATTCCTCTTTAGGTTGAACCAGTTATCCCTAGCATAGCCTAAGAGACGCTGTCGAGTCGGTAAACGGTTAAGATATGGCATAACAAGGGTCTCACAGCCGGGCTTAGTCGACGTACACTACAGAGGCGAGCGAGTTCTTATGTGTTGTGGAAAGTATAGAGGTTGCACCATTAGCACTGGGACCCACACCTTGCAGACAGGCAGCTCAGTACGGCCAGCTGTACGCGATGGTGCGCGCATTTGAGCAGATCGTCTAAATACCCCTACCACCATTTAAACTTCTACCACCACATTCTCGTCCAATCCAAATCTTTTTTTTTTCTGGGTGCGCTTCGTTGCGCGCGTCCATTAGAACTAGGCCACGCTGCAGCCGTCGCATGCGGCGTATCAGCCCGCGATACTCGACATACATACGTTGCGGCTGTCAGTGTGGCATACGATTTGCGCTTGGTCCACGGCAGGCAGTTCAAAGGGAAGATTACACGAACTAGTGCAATTCATTTGCTCCACTGACACTTGGTAGTGTAATGTCATTTCGAGACCTCAGTGGGCTGCGCCGCGCGCGAATCGGGCGGGATGACCTAGTCCCGACGACGCACCACGGACGTTTCCCTAATTCTAGGCCTTATATTTCTCTAGATACGCTGATTTCGCATTTTACATCGATAATTTGTGATGTACCGCTATTACTTCCATTATCAATCTGAACCCCATGTTCCAGAATTATCATCTACTAAACTTTCGATATTCGAATGTGTGAATCCGATGAAGAGAAGGCTAGTAGAAATGCTATTCTTTTTATATATAAAGTGCTCGCGTCTGTCTGTTCGTCTGTCCGTCTGTTTGTTTGTTTGTTTGTTTTTGATTGTTTGTTTTTACGAAAATACGGGAATTCATTATAACCGGGAGAAACAACTGGAGATGTAGGGGCAACTTTGGAATGGGTTGAGCATAGGGAAAGTGCAACAGAGCGCGTGTGAGCTTAGCGGAGCTTTGCCCCCAAGGGGTGGGGCATGCGCCGGAATTGGGCGGATGCAAATTCTTCTCATTCGGTGACATACCAGTCCAGACGCCGGGAGAAATGTGCAAAGGTGAGGGATGGGTCAACAATTAGAATAAAGGGAACTTACCGGCGGTGGGCGGTACGTTCTCGCAGTAGGCGGTACTTTCCACAGAGAATCATAACTCGATTCAAGGAAGGCGTCGAGGCCAGGAAAATTACAAGGAGTGAGCAAGGCCTGATGCGTGCTGGGCATACGTAAGCTTAGCGAATCCACGCCCACGATGGGCGAGGCGTGCGTTGAGATGACGGCTACCCTTTAGAAACGAATGAACTTCGTTCGAAAACGTTCTGGAATGGAAAAAGTCGTTACAGATCAAGGAGCAAATGTGGTCAAATCCTCGAAGTGGGCGGGATTGGCACTAGAGTGGGCGGGGCCTAGATCAAAATTTCATTACTCTGTTCGGAAACGTTCTACATAGAAAAAGTGGATAGAGGTNGTGCTGGGCATACGTAAGCTTAGCGAATCCACGCCCACGATGGGCGAGGCGTGCGTTGAGATGACGGCTACCCTTTAGAAACGAACGTAACTTCGTTCGAAAACGTTCTAGAATGGAAAAAGTCGTTACAGATCAAGGAGCAAATGTGGTCAAATCCTCGAAGTGGGCGGGATTGGCACTAGAGTGGGCGGGGCCTAGATCAAAATTTCATTACTCTGTTCGGAAACGTTCTACATAGAAAAAGTGGATAGAGGTAAACTATGGTTGAGTCCTCGAAGTGGGCGGGGCTGGCCCAGGAAAGCGGGGCTAGGATCAAAATTCCATCTTTTCAAAAACTCTCTAGACTGCGGAGGTAATGGTTAGGAGTAGTTAAAAAAAGGGGTCAAGTTCTTATAGTGGGAAGGGTCTGCACTGAGGTGAACGGAGCCATGACCAACCACTAGTAATTCGCTCAAATGAATTATATTGAGGGTGGTGCTCCCAGCAAATCAGCATTCAAATCTAGAGAGAACTATCTTATTCTGATAGTCCAACACTCCGCTAGATGACTCCATCGTATCGGTCGTCCATCGGTCGTCGGCATATAATGCACGCGTTAGCGTGCATAGCCCAACGGTACTATATAAGCCTTGACAGGGTAAGTCTTATTAACTTCTAATATACCTGAAGAACTGTTAGCCGCTAATGCTGCAAGTGCTTGCTATTTCCGGAAAAATGTTTGTTGATGATTGTGCTCCCTTTTCTTACGCAACAATAGCAGTAGCTTGGAAGCCAAGAAAACGTACATAACGGCGAGCACGAGGAACTGCGTACGAAGTTTATTGTCTTGAAACACTTGCATCAGCGACATTGAAACCGGTTTCTTCTTCTCCTTCCCTCCTTTATCTCTTTCTGAAAACAAAGCGTCAGAGGCTGGAAAATCTTGCTGTGCCTGTGCATGCAGTGAACAAGGTTTCTCAGTCGAAGCTTTTGTATTTTTCAAGGGAAATCTGTCTGTACGTGTGCCTATGAGAGTTTTCAGACCATGTCACTTTTTTCGAACACTGATTCCGCAACATCGTGAGCCCGCTGTTGTGTATGTTGCCACCACTTTCTTTTGTCTCTGGCGTCTCCTGCACTTTCTTTTATTCCGACGAAGACTCATCTTGCTCACGTTCCGCCACCTTTTTTTTTTTTGAAGCTTCTCGTAATCGCTTCCCTGATGCCTCGAAATTCATTGCCTCCCTTGACGGCCTGATGTCTCGGACTTCTTTGACGGAGTTTCAGTGGGTTCACGCTAACATTGCATACGCCGCTTTCGCATGTTCAGTCGTACAGGAGCTCTCGCATGACGCCCTGTGACCTCGTTTCTGATTTTGTCTTATTGAGCTCTAACCGTAGCCTCATGGGAGCCTCCTTATTTTTGCAAAGAGAGTAACAGAAATAATGAACGCTACCATATTAGCCATGCTGCGAAAAAGCACAACGGTACCTACTGATTGGGACTTACATCTTGCATGATGGCCTATAATATTAAGCCTCATAGTGCCACGGGAGAAAGTCCGTATTTCGTTTTACATGGCAGAGACCCGAATTTCCCATCGGACATAATACCTAGGATGGAACAGTCGCAATATATGGTAGATACACCAATAGATGACTACAGGTCGGTCTTGCTGCAGGGAATAGAGGAGGTCCATGAAAGAGTGAGGGACCATAATGATCGCGTGTGCGAGAGCATGAAAAGAATGTATGATGAGAAAAACAAGGTAAATGTTAACCGTCATCCCAAAATAAGGGACAGAGTGTATGTGCAATCACCCAAAGATAAGGGTAAAAGCCTGCATCCTAAGCTTGTCTCGGAGTGGGCCGGACCATTCAGCGTAATTGAAGGTAGTAAAAACTCTCCGCGTTTCTCACAAGAATCGGCGAGAATTCATAACCAATGAGAATACAGTTTGATATGCTAAAAGTAATGCCGGAGTGTATTTCCGACGAAAGAATCGCCACCCAAAACTCCAGAGGAAAAAAGGGTAGGAAAAAGGCTGTAAAACAAACAAAAAGTTGCAAATTGACTACTGAATATTTTAGTGGAGCATCACTGTTGTGCCCTCTGGAGAAGGGGCATATGCTCTACAAGTGTTCGGACGGATGCATGGAAGAAGCAGATTTAGGAGCCATCGAAGGCGTCTCGTTTCCCGGCGCAGTAGCAAAGGAGGAAGTTGAAAGCGTGTGGAACGCATCGACGTTGGAGAGAAGATCAGACTTCGCCGAGAGGGACACGTGTGCGGGGACGTGAGCTCGTTGCAGATCGTTTTGAAGTTCGCCTATGCAAGATGCAGCGATTGGACGGACTTCATATGCAACACGAAGGAGATTGCAGACTACTTCATTATCGAGAACCAGGATGTTCGGCATATGTACCCGGAGGCGCTCAGAAAACTCAGAGAGGACACTGAGAAGCGATCTGTGAAAGAGGGGCAGCCGCCAGGCAGGATACTAGAAGACTGGAAATCCTTGAGGATGTGGGTAATAGTGTGGCCTCAGGACTCGAACTTGAAGAAGAGCACTTTGGACGACTTGATCAGACTGATCAAAGAATTCATGGATAACGGAGGAGTTGCGATTACTGCGTGGCCACCGATCACGTCAATAAACCACAATAAGTGGTTCGGCATGATGGAGTGAGGAAACATTCAGATGGAGCCTTAAAAAAACTCGACGATAAGCAAGCCTTCTGCACGAGTAGCAAGATTTTCGATGTAAAATTGTTTATAGAGGCAGGGGCGCCAGAATGAAGTGCTCAATTTCACAGCAACTATGTTGGAACATCTCTACCGAGGCAGGTGTACGAGGCAGTAAGATACCGCGTCGAAAGAGCGAGGCTGCCGGAAATAGAGAAGCCGACTAGTTTTTTTGTTCAACTATTTCAGTTATTCTCCTTGCTATTGTTTTTTTGTGGTTACCCCATTAAACTTGTATAGTTTCACGTTTAGTTCCGTGCAAGGTCAGAAGAACTATCCTTTAGACAGCTAATATAAACCACATGGTCTTCCATAATCCTTTCCCTCCATCCATGCCGTGTTTATTCGAACCCTGATCGCACTGCATTCAGCTGCTGGGGCACACTACCGGCACCGAAACCTCACGTTCAGCCAGACCCTATTTCTGCGAGCACTTTCTGTCATATTTGCAGCTTGTTCTGAAGTTATTCGGATTCCCCCCCCCCCAACAGAGCCATGTCTTCAATGCAGCTATGGTCTACGGTGGTCCATCCATCAGTTACTTCGAGACAGCATCCGCTGTAAGCAGGGAGAGGAACGGGCTCAGACCCTGCTTTTGTCAAGTTGTGAGAGGCGCGTATGACCGTCTTAGACCTATCCCTCGCACACCTCTTCGGCAAGGGAGGTCAGGTGTTCCGTAACCTTTTTCCAAGGGACTGCTAGCGGAAAGAGATCGAAGGCAGCCTATTTCGAAGAAGATTGGGTAGCAAATTCTATAATTCTCAGATACTTATTCACCAGTTACTTCGCATAAGAATGTGAGCATTTCAATGACATTCCTTTTGCTCCTTGAACTTGAACTCAAACTTAATTCCACTGACCGCTGTCATCGTGTACGCAGTCAGATTCCCCCAGAATAGAGCACTCCATCGCATCCTCCCCCTTCTCGGAGATGAGAACGATAGTTCTGCTCCGCCACGCACTCAGGATTATTCTTTCAACAGTGATAAAGGATAAAGGATAAAGTTTTTGGCGTTAATCAATCCTGTCTGAGGGATGCGCCCCCGCACTCGACTTCCATTCAGAATCGCAGTGGCGTAATGAGTGCGTATATGGCCTATACAATGACTTGCGGTGGCCAGCCGATGTACAAGTCAGTGCTTTTATCCTCCCAGACAAGTCTGGTACCAATTAGCCGACCCCGGAGGGATGGAAGGCTTGGTTGGCCTAGGCGGGCATCGATCCGGGTTTCGAACCCGTGACCGTGCGTGTGATATAGTGCGCCACTTGCCACTGCACCACCTCCGCCCTTCAACAGTGATAGAGTTAAGAAACATGGTGTTCCACTTGATCCCTTGCTTCCTGGCAATTCGCGCCTGGATCTACGGCTCATTCGGACCAACTGTCTTCCCATCATTGACCATCCCTATTTCTCGATGAACTTGTTCCCCTGTCCAAAATACGAAGGGATTAGCCGTTGCCTCTAACTGTGAGCTGTTCTGGTGATGGTGCCTTTCGCATAGCATCTATGAAAGTAGAAGTAGTCTATCTGCACCCGACTTGAACGGGCTTCTTCTAGATGGCGTCGCTGTTTTTACAGCCTCGCGGCATTGATGTTCGAGTAAATTGATGCCTGAGCCAGCCGTTGTGGAGAACGAACTTCTTTCTTCCTCGGCTCTCGAGCGTCCCGTATGAGGCGCCCATTTTCGTATACTTTGCCTCTGCTACGGCAGTCTATGTGAGCCGCCTACACGGCTTGTGGACTAAAATTTGCGCCCTCAGCCATGCGACTTTCTTCTGCCTTACAATTCGTTCGACCTTATCTTTCCAGGTCCGCGCCCTTTTGTTTACTGGTAGTCCTTCTCAACTCTTACCAGACCCTACCTTGCACGCCGTAGGATAACTTCTCGTTGTCACAGCAGGATGTCCCTCAGCACTTGAGTACTCATGTCCTCTATCCTCCGTTTGACTTCTTCCTTTTCGGCTTGGTAATACCTTGACTACTTTACCTACTTCTCACGAGCGGATCCATTGTTCTTCTCTTGTCCTTGATTTCTTGGGGAGCTCGATGGCTTTGCTTCCTGCAAGAGATCGGCCTGTGCTGCAAAGCTCAACCTTCGCCAGACACCGCTTTGATCTTTCAGAATTTTAGGGAGGAGGTTTCCTCCGATTGTTCCCCTCCTTCACTTCCGACTCCAATTTCCCTACCTCCATGAACTCTTTCCAAACCTCTACGTTCACTGCCACTGTAGCTATTCAAGTTAGTGCATAGGTGAGATAGTATCCTTCCGAAGCTCATCTGATGGCATAGTCAAGGCTCAGTTGTAACTTGTTCTTCTCTCACTTGGGAAAACTTGCCAGGGTACACGGATATTATCGGCCAGTGCCTCTTGTTCGTGTCTATCCTTCCCCTCTATGATTCTACCACTGATCTTCTTTACACCGTACATAGAGTCTCTGGGGGTACTGCCATAGACTCACAGTTTCGTTTGGGGCCTCTTTCACTGTAGTAGAGCTCCACACCTAATCGTCATGCCTTTGCTGCTTTCCAGTGCATTTTCGAAGGCATAAAACTTTGACCTTTGCCGCTCCATCGGATCAGCAGCTTCTCGGAATCTTAGAGTGGACTTCGCTTTTTCTGCCAATGTCGTTCACTCCTTGGTAGCCCTCTTACATTACGCGCAGATTTTGGGAAGGATTCCTTGAGTACCTACGAGTGGCGCGATCACCTTGGCACTGAATACTTTCGGGGCTTTATTCTTCGGGGTGATTTAGCGTTACCTATCAAAAATTAAGTCGAAATCGATTCAATCCTATTCATACATCAAGACAGTAAAACTTACCAGTTTCTTCACGTTCCACACCGCTGATCATCTCTAACCTCTGCTCCGCTGCTTCCGCTCTTTCAAATTTCCCCTGTAATAAAAGCTATGCGCTTAACAGCATTTGGTAGAGGAATGAAGTGGAATATGTACATTACTCCGGGTAGATGAGGTTCATAGCGACGTAATCGGAAGAGTTAGGTTGTTAAGAGCCATATCTACGTCCCTAGAAATGTCTGAGTTACCCTGTCATCGTACAAAGTAATATTATGATACTCTCCCGATTACACGGTGGTGTTAGTGGTGTAGAGCGCTGTGCGAGCGTTCCCCTGTACTTTGTCTAATGACTGTCATTTCAACATTCAGAATCAAAAAGTGTCTAATCGTTCTCAATACGTGTAATCATTGTTCTTGTTGGGAGAGAGGTGTGTATTTCTTTGTGTTTCGGTGCGTGTAGCAGTGCTGTGCCTAGATGATTGTGTCGGACAGTAACCCGGAGAGGAGGGAGAGGGTGCGTGAATGGTGAAGAGACTGTTATCGAACGACATGTGGCGTCAATGGGTGCTGAAATGCAGAAGTCACCATCACTTCTTATCGCTTTTCTATATTTGCTTTCGGAAATCAGTGCCAGTGGAGCCTTTTCACCTCATTGGACGGAGCGATGAACGATACGGCCGCAGCTCAAATTAGTAGAGCATGATAACGGATGATGAATGTTGTTTCAGGGTCTGTTAGAGGGCAAGAACTATTCTTCCAACTCGTTTCTTGCAAATACGTGTTAGTTCTAAACTATAACAAATTTAATGCGATTAGATGGGATGGTAGAATCGTAAAGAAAATGTAGCAGTGTTGAGAACTGATAAAAATGGTCAGTGCGTGACTCTAGCACTTGCTACTCAAGAACCGCGCCTTCTCACCAACCCTGAATAAGATGTCCAACAAAACATATCCAACCACCAATAACATGGGATATTAGAAAACAGTTCACATTCATACGAGAGCCGTGACTCAAGACATACCTATGTCTGGTAATCTAATTCGAAAAAGCGCATTTAGCTGAAAGAATTATGAGAAATGAAGAGATCTACTCATCTCCATTGCATTGGTTGGAGCTAGTTCATCACGCCTTAATGTAATAATGTTTGATGATTAATGTAAATAGAAGGAAGAACGGACACACAAGAGTGTAAGGTGGTGCTGCCAACGCTCTCTATAACAGCGAATAGATGAACTGGAGTCTCGAGTGATGAGTAGCAGAGACTGGATCGTTGTCGAACTTACTCGTGAGAACTGCATTCAGCTGAGGACGGCGAGCGAATATACCAAATTAATCGAAGATGGTCAGAGATATATATGTATAAGTCCCTCATTTGCTCACGAGCGGATGCTCAAAACTGGAATGATGTCTGCAGTAACGGCATTCGCCTCGGCATCGAAGTTTCTGTTACTTCTGAGACGGACTTTAGCCATGGATCATATGTATTGGGTTTTCCTTCAAGCCGACAAGTGACAAGCATCGGGTGTGAGTAGCTTCAGATGAGGAGGCGCCAGAAATGACTAATGGCTATATAATTTCAGGGAATGACATTTTGGAGACTCTATTCGAAAAAAGACGGTCACTGCTGAAATGTAGCATCACTGCAAGATACGAAATCACATTTGGACTGCAGCACACAAACACGAGAAAGGCATCATCGCTCATGGCTACGCCGAGCTCGGACTTTCTTAAAACGATTTCAAGTCATGAGTTCTTCCATCGTATTCGCCCGACCTACTCAAGCGCGATCTGTCTAATTCGGTGTAGGGAGGCACATACATGTAGCAATCCTTCTGACAATTGGTCCGCCACCAAAGCAGATCTCAACAGCACCGCATTCGCACCAGTTGAAATAGATGTTCGGTACCCAGACACCAAAGGACTCTAGGAATGGTAGCTCACAACCGGCGGGGTTCAGTTGACTTAACACTGGAATATCGGCTTCTTGTCTTCTTTGCTGCTCACGTTAAACAAAAATAAACTTTCAGACTTCCAGATATGATGACGTAACAATCGCAATACTATTGTAATTTGTAGTCGACAATGTTATGAACTACCTCTACCGTTTCCTCATTCATAGAAAAGTCGCTGTTATTTACGGAAAAAGTTGAACCTCCGATGGATATTATGATTGAGATCAAATGTAGCAAATCGAAACTTCATAAACATGAGGCAAGAGTCAGATACTACCGAAGTGCTTTGTTTATTGAGGGCTCCCCTTCTTTCGTTGTAATTCTAGGTAATCCGAGGTGCTTCACACTGGATTTTTTGAGTGGAAATCTAGCATTTGTTTCAAGAAGAGGAGCGGTGGGTCTCCGAGAATGCCGACTCTGCCACAAAAGGAGGGAAGCTTAACAGAACTCGCAGTTAAGGCGCAGAGTCTGTGCTCGCACTTGGCGCATTACGGCAGGCAAGCATGGGTGCTTTCAGGGTAAAGCAACCTGCGTTGCTCGGTCGAAGCTTTGCTAACCATTAGTTGACAGCGCTGGACGTCTCTTAACAAAGCCCACGGCGCTTACGGCATTTGCATTGGAATTTTATTTTTTCCACGGCAAGCAAGCTTTCAGCTGCCGCGCAACTTTGATGAAAGACATGTGCCGCGCGTCTAGCGTTTTCAAAAGACGATATCCAGCTCTGTGAACGCACGGCCAGTAACATCAGCGTTGCGCCGCTGCGGTCTGAAAGCACCAGATGGCATCACTCTGTTTTGTACTGGCTAAGAGAATTCCATTTATTGACTTCCATATTCACAACAATTCTCATACCTTTTTCCTGAGCCACATTGGGCTTTCAGGTAAATATGCAATGATGGCTAGCGTTGACAAGGATGCAGCTGCATTCAAGTAGGAAGCAACTCTCCAGGAACTTTGGCCAATAAAGGTTAGAATTGACATTAGAATTCTTCCATTAGTCTGAATCAGAAACAAATAGAATATATTGAACGAGATGCTGGTTGAAATCAATAACTGAAACTATAAATTCGCTTTGGAAGATTATATGAGTGCTCACATAGGTCTGTACCCTGTCAATTTCTCCACTTAACAGGGAGGGGTAGTTTAATCATCAAACTGGAACTTTGAATGGAAACCCAGACAGATCGAGTTTTGAATGTTGTTTAGGAAAATGGGAATTAAACTGCGAAATGATTTTCCTTGCCGACGTGGCCTAGCGGTAGTGGACTCGCTTCAGAGTAAAACACCGTAACAGTAAGTAAAACAGAGTCATACGATCAACGTTTTCCTTGAGTATATACAACAAACGCAAATGGAAGCAGAAATAAGGTGTTGGCTCAAACAAATGTCAGAAAAGATTTTGGAAGTCTTCAATGAAGTGAGAGAACACAATGCATAAATCTCTATGGTGGTGGGGAGCAAGCCCGCACCCTCTGCTGTGAAGAACCACTACCACTACGCCACGTCGACGTTTGATATCGCAGCGACGAGTTCGTGTTTCAAATTGACGTTACTTTAGGCGGATTTGGAGCCCCATAACCTTTTAAGGAAAATCATTTTACAGTTTCGTTTTCCATTTCGTAAACAGCATTCAAAACTGTATCAATTTATCTGGGTCTCGATTCAAAGTCCCATGGTGAGTAGACTACCCCTCCTTGGTTAGGAAAATGTAAAATGTACCGCAGAAATAACTACACGAAAATTTTCTCAGGGATTGTATTTCAAATTTCGGGAGGAATTGCAACTGGAATCGTGGATCTTCAGTCATGAAAACATTATTCGCACGCTTCGGATGATAAAAATCATTACACTCCATCATTAATAAGAAAATGCTGTCTCTATAGCATGAGAGAGATATGAAGAAACTCCAAGTAATTTAAAGGTACAGTTCACAATAATTTTAAGGTACCTCTTTTTGTTCGAAAAGCGGAAGTATAGGTCGGGAATAATTTATCGGTATTGAAAAGAGCGAGAGAGATCGCCTATTCCGAGAAAACATGGTTCTTTAGAAGTAGGGGAAATAGAGGTTGGGCGAGATTAACGAGAGGAAATAGTATTGAAGGGGCATTCGGACGAGATTTCAATTGTTGCAACGCAAAGAGCCGACTACATCGAGTCAGAACTGAACAAATTTGCCTTTCACTAAGGGTTATGACATGGACTGAGAGAGCCGACTATATCAAGCCAGAACTGCACAGAACTATTTTCACTGCCGCTGTGGGTCATAACAAGTTGTCCAAACTTCCTACACGGGTTCCCCTGCGCTCTGTGCAGCTTCTGCAATGCAAGTGAAACTCGTACGAGGGTACACACAATGCAACTTTGTTCCTTTACAAATCCCTTACAGGACCATTTTCTGACCTAATGGCGCCAGATATGATATGCGAGGGAAGCTCGGATTCATCCTATGGGAAAATCTCAAAAACTATTTCTGTCGTGAACTGTGTCTTAAATAATGCTAGGCAGTTCGAGAACAAGTGTGGGAGGGTTCCAAAACAGTGTTTCATGAACTAAGGCACAAGCCTATCTCTAAATTGAAATGATATTATCTTCTCATAAGCTGGCCGAACTGGAAACGTTATGTGGAAGTTGGATGCAGGAACCTACCCAGCTTGTGAATGTTCTTAGCTTGAATCGATGTTTGGGTGAAATCATTTCAGCACAGAATGCCCAACCAACGGACATTGTAGCTTAAATAGAAGTTTTTGATGCTCACACTTGTTGCGGAGGAATTGATATTATTTAGGTTCCAAAGCACTGCTGCGCTTCCCAGACTGTTACACTTCGAGAAAAATTTGCATGGATTACGTGACTATACAAAGGGGATATTGAAGCGAACTTCCGATTGTAAGATTTTTACACTATTATCACAAAATCATTATTCATGGGATGAGGCAATACAACGGTATTCTTTGCCACCAACTGACCTGCTATAGTGAAGCCAAGGAGAAAGCGAAAAGCATAGAATGCAGGAATGCTGTCGAAAACGGCTGAATATCGTTGGTAAATGTGGGAGAGTTATAGACATGATATGGAGATCAAGTGGCCGAATTACCTGACAGTACCAGAAAGGGTATGCCGGTGCATAGTGCTGCCAACAACATGAGACGTCTTCCGAATTTGTCGGCTATGTAGCCAACAAAGCAATTCCCAATCAATACTCCCATATACTGGCTTTCCGCTACAGAAAAGCTAAAATTTTGAAGCATAGTCAACATTACGCATGCGTGAAATTTATTTTGAATAGAAAGGGGGAGATGCGTTACATAACAGAAACCTTCTCAGCAGCATTGGGTTGTCCAATTTGAGGCAAAGCTTTCTGCTTCGTAGGAGATGAAGTACTATTTTAATATTGATTCCCTCTGTGGTTCACGCAATATTTTTTACAGAATAGCAGCGGTACGGCGGTCACCAAGACCATTTCATATGTATACTTGCTTGCTCAGTCAACCATTACTCATGCGAATGTGTGCAGAATGAACTGATAAAATGGCTCCTACAGCTAGGGTTGACGTGCTTGCCTTGACTACAGATGAATTCTGTTGCTTGTCCCAGTAACATAATTTTTGAATGTTTACATCATGTATTAACAACTCAATTATGGGAAAATTGCATGGGCACTTATAAGGCAGAAGCATGGAAGACGTGAAGTAATGGGTAAGCATTTTACGTCATCACAAAGTGATAGGTTTTGAGCTGTCTTGAGCTCCTCCTGCGATTCCATGACCTCGCGCACAACAGTATATACCTCACTCACCAATGACGAGTTTTAACTGAAAAATGTTTGAGAGGGCAACATGATCTTATCTACGCTAGTTCAGAACCAAACATGACAATCACTTGTTTTACTAATCCACATGGCATGAAAGCCAGCAATTTGTCGTTTGGTCGTTTCCGAAGGAATCTATTACATCCAGGGCCTAGAATTACTTCTGCTCAGAAGATGGTGCTACCAACAGGATGGTGTCTCTGCTCATGAAGTCAATTGTCCAGGCGTCGTGCAGCCAGTATTTGTAAGATTCATCCTTATCACAATTGTCTTTGCAGTTAGCAGTATCGTTTTATCATTTCGCTTAATTCATATATGAGGGACATCCTCGAATCCAATGTATGCGCAAAACCCCACCATCCTCCATTGCTTGCGGGAGCCCTGCAGATAGCATGGAAGAAGTTCAACATAGACTACCTACACTCCACGGTCGACGCGGCATTCGAACTTTATCGAAGTTGTATTTGAGAACAGGAGATTGTTAGGAAGTAAGAAGTGCTGTTGATCTTTTTTTTCGAAGAGTAAAATGATGTCATGTGCCTTCTATTCTGCACGTCTGCTTTGGGCATCCATTTTGTTTTCATAATTCTGCCTAATTAGAGAGAGACATAAGTTATAAATTAGTGTGCACAAGAAGAAAAAACAAAATTGATTTGATGCGCCTTTAGTTATGGGAACCAATGTAAGTCATCACCCGAAGCTCTTCAGTGATTGATGATTACCATAATAATCAAAGTGTTGATAAGGAAGTCACATATAATGAAAAAGGGGTATGAGACAATAAATAATGCATGAATAGAATAAGTACGAATAACTACAATGAAGGAAGTCAAAAAGGACGAATTGGTAGATAATGAGTACGAGTAAGGTATCTTCCCACCAAAACTATCTTAATGGAGCACCGATAGAAGTGGATCGCGTCAACCAAATTTGACCAGAGCACTAAATTAAATCAACCTCGACGAAATTAAACCAAATTATTAGGTTGTTCGGAAAGGAATGCGCGTTGACTTCGTCCATTCATTTCTCCACTACTAAAGGAGATTTCTCAAAACAGTTTTGTCTATCAGGAAGAGATTTTCATTGCGTATCTTTTGATATATTTTTGGCTATGTCTACTTTGTTTTTTTGAGGTAAAAAAAGCTTAAAAGGTGCTTGACCAAAAATTCCTTTTGCGGGCTTGCATGTGGTACAACTTAAAGCAAGGAAAACCAGCTACTGAATCTCATCATGTCAAATCTAAAGTATACGGCGAAGAGGCCCTGTCAGAAAGCCAGTGTCGACGATGGCATCAGCGTTTCAAAGCTAATGTTCAGTTCAGCACGGTAATGAAAGCTTGGAGGACGAAGAACATGGAAGTCGGCCTCAATTCGTCGATAACCAAGTGTTGAAGACCGTCATTAATTTGGATCCACGCCAAACCACCCGAGAACTGGCAACACATGTTAGCTGCTCAAACTCTATCATCCATGAGCATTTGCTGGCAATTGGCAAGACCAACAGGTGTAGAAAATGGGTACCACACCAGCTGAGCGACGCAAACCAGGCAACACGAGTGGCGATGACCGAAATTCTTCTTCATCGCTCCAAGAACAGCGGTTTTTTCAACTCTATTATTACATCAGACGGGTAATGGATCTGCTTCGACAACACAACACGAAAAAGGCAGTNAGCTTTGCCTCATAATGTCTTCCTAGCTTTTGCAGAAGCTTTGAAAAAACATAGACAAACGACAGGTTCGCACCGTCTTCCTTTTCGAATTCAAACTAGACAGGAATGCAGCGGACAAGAATCGAGATATCAGCATAGCGTTTGGTCTTGGAACAACAAATGTACCTACTGTACAGCGATGGTTCGAGAAATCCCGTAACGGCGACGAGCGTCTCGAAGACGGTGATGGTGGTAGTTTGGTGGTCAACGGCTGGTTTAATTCATCACAACTTTTTGGATCAGGGCGAAACTATCAAAGCTGAAAGATACTGCAAGGATCTCGACGAAATGAAAAGAAGCTGCAGCTCATGAGCCCTGGATTGATGAACAGGAGGAGCCGATCCTTCTCCACGACAGCGCGCGCTCTAATGTCGCACAGACCACCCTGAGGAAATTGAACGAGCTTGGCTATGAAACTCTGCCACGCCCACCGTACTCAACTGACCTCGCTCCAACCGACTGCCACTTTCTTAAGCATCTCGACAACTTCCTCTGAGAGAAACGCTTGAATAATCGACACGATGTCAAATCCACCTTCCTCGAATTCATAGCCTCTAGATCTCCAGAGTTCTACGCAACCAGGACATGCAAGCTTATTACTCGTTTGCAAAAGTGTGTAGACAACAATGGTTCTTATCTCGATTGTTAAAGTTCTGTTTGAGCCGAGATATGGGCATCGAAAATTAGGCGTTAAAAACCGACAGAACTTTCTGAAACACCTAATAGTAACTATTACTAAGAAGGAAAATCATTAATTGTGTACTACTGTACACTCAGAACCATTGATCCATTTGAAAGCTGCATGTGCAAGCATTAAACGAGGTGAGGTCCATTTGGGGTTCATCCCTTGGTAACAAGGGATGAACCCCAAATGGACCTCACCTCGTTTAATCCTTACCACTATACTCACATTCATTTTGTTGTCAGTTACTCTACCATGTACTCTAGAAAACATATCAAGATGCCATTTCCGTGGGTGGGTTCTTCTAACTGTACGGCGCGTGCTGCGCTCCGATCGCGCGCTGTGAGAGGATGATTCGAATTCCCCAAGGAAAATTGCGGCGAATGTCGCTAGGCTAATGCCGTTTGCCTCTGAAATTCGGGTAAAATACAGCCACCGGTGCAGGATACATCGAGTACACGGAGTAGGTTGAAAACTAAAAGCCCTTAAATCTCCAAATAAGTTAAGGTTAGAAATGAAAATAAGAAATAGCAGCTGTTATTGTTTTCTGCTCAATACCAAAAGCAATGCTCTATCATACCAAAAGAGGAAGTGATCTAGTAGTAATTACCACTCAAATCAGTTTCTATTAACTTGTCGCCAGTCAATCACTATAGTGATCGAAATCAATAACCCTCCAGTGTTGAGTTTCACAAGGGAAGCGCTCAGGAGCTTCTGCCTTCTGTGACTCGTTATCAGACCTTACCACTTACTTCCATCAATTACCTGAGATCCCACCACACTTCATATCATCCCTCGAGGTGCCAGAGTTAATGTTAACACAAATAGCATAACCAAAACAGGTGACCCTTTTTTCTTCTATTCCTTGTCAATCCCAATTGGGCCTTATCACAAATGGTCAGCTTCCACCTGGTATCCACTAACATCATATACTCAGATGCCAGGGTTGGAATCCCATGTCACTGAATTCGAGATGCGGCTGCACTGCTATTCTGTAGTACATGGGGTAAATGGATAATTGAGGCGTTTAAATTTGAAGCTAAAGAGGAACGAGTTGTAGACAGAAAAGAATGGCGAGGACAGTGGACCACGAACCTGGACCACTACCAGCACTACATACCTGCCAAAAAAGTCGTCCCTACATTTGAGCCTATATTCCATCATTGGGGAATAGAAATAATATGAGTGACCCTCTATGCATGAAGCCTAAAAAATTGTGGTTTAGTTAAATTTTTGATCGAACTGTTGTTACCCATATTTTTTCCCACAGAGTAATTGTGCTACTAATTTGTAGGGTTTCTCCTGACCATTGAAGTTTAGATTACAGGTTAATATTGAAATGGGGAGACTCGCGGGTTCCTATCAGCACATTGTCTTGGAAAGCTTGCTTTCTGTGATTTAGATTTTTCAAACTTGTGAACTGAGCAGGAAAACCTACATAACAGACCAACAGACCATTGCCTACCAATATCAAATTTCTCTAGAACGAAACTTTTTCTTGGTGGTGAACTAGGTACCGAATACTGCGCTCGGAGGTGAAGGGGCGTCGGTTGAACTTTGTACAATCTCACTTTTTTCAGTGAACAAGCTTGAGGTTTTTGAGAAACGCTTCTTCCTTGAGCCAGCGATGCCGATAAGGAAACAAGTCGGATTTTAATGTCTTATGAACGTGTGGTTCAGTAACTGTGACTCAAGCATACCCAAGACTGCAAAACTTTAGCTGGCGTTTTCGTCTCATCGCTTTTTTCAGGGCCTGGAGGTTGAAAGCCATTTGAGACCCTCACATGAGACAGGACACTACTTGAGACCGTTCTCTAAACCAGAATACTCAACCAATACAAGAGCGCTACATGGCTTAACCCGTATTCAAAATTTGCAGAGATCGATGAGGAACTCAAAGTACGGGTAATAGCTCAAGTTTTATCAGCGGTCATATAGAAAGCTCAATTGTTTCCCGTATTGGTCCTTGTTCCAAGTGGCGAGGTGGCTAATGGACTAGCAAATTCGCTACTAATTGTTATGACGCTGAATTCTATGCATTCTCAGAGGCGCAGAGG